CGGGAGGGGTCGCGTGCGGTGCGGGCGTTTGGGCTGCGGCCTTGAGCGCTTGGGCCTCTGGCGGCGGCGGATGTGTTCTGGCCTGACTGGTGCCGGCTCTGGTCGCTCCTAGGTGTTCAAGCGCTTCGTCGAGATTGGCAGGGTTGCCTTCATTTCCTTCGGGCCTCATGCTGGCAAGCTGGTGGCAATTGTGGATGTTATTGACCAAAACAGGGTAAGCTAAGAGCAGCACAGCTTCCTCCTCCTCTTTATTTTATTTTATTTTTTTAAGGCGCTTGTGTACTGAAACATCCTGTGAATGGTTTTTCAAGGAAATAAGCAGTGGTCAGAAAGAAGGGGTTTAGCAGGCATTGCTGTTTGAAACTTCAAGTAGTAAGTTTTTTTCCATTGGCAAGTGATACACTTCCTTCTTTGCTGTCTCTTCTTCCCATTCTTTTACTCCTGTAAGTGTCTTAAAAGCTGATTTCATTGAATTCTTGGGAAATAAGATAGGGATGCTTGCATTATTTCCTACATACTTATTATGATTAATTAGAAATGTGAGGTCTTAGAACTCTTGTGGGAGTAGTGGTGACCAAGTAGATTTTAGTTGGAGTCTAAAACTTATGAATGAAGTGATACCATTGGAGGTTCTTTTCAATTAATATTTCTGAAAAAGCCAGAGAAGAGGAAGATGGAAGCATATAATCTTATTTCCGTGTACTTTTTCTAGTTCAGATGTTTTCCCAAAGACAAGGATGGGCCTTTAGAAGTCTTATATTGTAAAGCTTGGGTTGTATATGCAAGACTTACTGATCTCTAGTTTTGGCTGCACAACTCTTGTTTCTGTTTCAGACCATTGTTGTCAAGTGGTAGTTAAAAATTGTTACAAAGCTGCTGTCTCAATCAAGCACATTGGGAAAACTGCAATAAATACTTATTTTCTTGTTTCAGGCACTAGTTGATGGCCCGTGTAGTGGTGTCAGAAGGCAAGCTATGCCCTTCAAGTGCATGCAGCTCACTGACTTTGTTCTCAAGTTCCCACACAGGTGAGTTCTGTCTTTTTTGGCCTGTGTAAGACATGCTGTCACTTAATGTCTGAATTATGTGGTTTGGTGCTTGCTAAATATAGAAAGTTCATATAATGTTGATTAAATTGATAAATGTGTGTGTAGTGTAAACTTGGCAGACCATGTTACCAGTTGAATACTTAAGTTTTCACTGTGAATATTGACTGATAACCGCTATTCCGAAAAGTGGAAGGAAGGAAGGAAACAACATAGTGCCCTAGGCAACTTACAGCAGCAGTTACAGCAATACTGTGTAACTTTGCTTCTTAAACTACTGCTTAGATCACCTTCAGACATTAACTATATTCCCTACCTATAGAGCTGTACTGGAATTGTAGGAAGCTGAACTCATTCTCTTTTCAGTAGCTTAGTTACTGTATGAGTTTCTCTAATTTAGAGTCAAAAATTGCTGCTTTTCTGGTTCTAGAGCAATGCTTGTAGTATTGTGTTAGAATGCCTTTTGAGGTTGCTCATCTGTTCAGTCCTGGCCAAACATTTACACAGCGAAATGTTAGGTTGGTCCATAGAAGCATGTGTGTTGCTGACTTAGCATGTGGTGAAAGGTAGCCATTAAAATAGTCCACATACAATGTGGAAGGATGATTATCTTTTGTACGAAATGTTATGGGCTGCTGTCAGTGAAGAGCTTTTTTCTGCAGACAGTGTGAATATAATTATCTGACTGTTCAAATACAGTGCTCGTCAGAAGCATGTGCGAGTTGCCTGGGAGAAGGAGAATATTAATGAAAAATGGGCAGCTACAAGATGGGCGAAGAAGATTGAAGCCAGAGAAAAGGTACAGTTTTTGACTGCATGAGTAATACACGTCGTACCACTTCTAGCCATTAAAATTAGGTACAGTCTAATACACTGTGCAGTTTCTTTTGTAGGTTAAGGCACAGATTATTTGAAGTTGTTACCAGCTTTTTCTGTGCCTGTCAGCTTTCAGCCTTCTTATGCTTTTACAGTAAAGGTTTGTTTTGTTCAGCTGTTTCTGTTACTTGCTTTGTTTTCTGCACCGTGGCTTCTCGGGAAAAGCCTTAAATAGTTAAGACTAGCTATACCTCTGGAACTGGTTTAATTTGAAGGTGTTCAGAGTTACTTGTGAAATGTTTTGAGACATTGAAGTTTACTACTTACGTACATTTATATCAGAACTTCATGACTGATTCTTTCCCAACAGAAAGCCAAAATGACTGACTTTGATCGCTACAAGGTCATGAAAGCAAAGAAAATGGTAAGTGTTTGGGTGTACTTTCTTTTATGTAGTTAATGCTTGTAGCTTTTGCTTCAGAGTCAACCACTTATCTTAAAAGCCTTTCTTTTATATCTGGCTTGGGTTATGGAATGACCCAAAGAGCGTGTGAATGCCCTGAATTCTTTGGCCACCCTTTTCTCTTAAGCAGTTGATCTGATTGCTGGTCAAACACATGATCTGTGTGTTAGTCTTCTAAGTTATAGCTGAGGAAGGAATTGCCTGCAGAGCAGATCTTATTGATGGGTTGCTGTTAATACTTCATTCTTTAATAAACTCAATTATATGTTACTTATGATGATGTGCTGAAATTACCAGCCAGAACAATGCTGGTGACTTGGTAGATCATCAGAACAGTTTTAAGTGGAATTTAATGTTTTATGTGTAATATATGGTAAATTCTCTCACTTAGTAAAATGTAATCTGGTTAGCAAAGGTTGATTACCCAAAAGTGCAGAACCCGAAAGCTTGGAAATGAAATTAAGGAATAATGTTTATGAAGAGTTAATGTTTTCATTCTCATTAATAGTATGATTTGTTTTTAACAGAGAAACAGGATCATCAAGCATGAAATGAAGAAGCTCCAGAAGCAGGCTTCTAAAAAAGGCAAGAAGTTACAGAAGGCACAGAAATAGAATAAACTTCTGGTTATGTGTTTGACTTTTGTGTCTGTGTTCTGTTTTTTTTAATTAACAAGTGGTTAAATATCTGATTTAACTGTAATCACAAGGGTAGCATAAGTTCACTTCTGCTTCTGACCAAGGATTATTGTCCATTTCATTTATTAATGTCACTGCTGAGTTGCCAGCGTTTCTCTGGAACACAGGCAGATATGTTTTTGTCACTTCCTGTTAAGTTGTCCATACGGACTATGTTTAGTACTGGTACCCAATACTATTAGAAGTATTTGCATCTGCAGTTAATTAAAGGAGCAGTTCAGATCCTCAGATGTCTTAAAGCAGTCTGCTATGGAAATGTTTTGAAATGAGCAAAGTTACTTTCAGTCTTCGTTGTGAAATGTGAGAAATGGTCAGTTAAACTAACTTTTCTGTTTAAATTCAGGCATCAACTGAAACGTGACTGTTCTATTTTGAATTTAGGATACAAGTACGTCAGTCTTTGAGGGACAGAAGTTTAAAAACTTCCGCTCTTCTGTAACAAGTGACTGGCAGTACTTCAGTGTTCCAGAAGTCTAATAATGTACAGTTGTCCAATAAGCACAGTTACAGTCATGAGTGACATTAACAAGATTAAAATTGATGACTTGCATTTAAACATGCTTTCTTTTAAGAATGTTTGAAATTTAACAGCCTATATCAGGACCTGAGCCTGATTACAGTTCCTTAAACTATGCAGGATATGATTATGACTGTTTGATCAAAACCCTTAAGTAAAAGAGGACCTAAAAAATTACTTCAAAATCCATATGGAAATACTGAAGTGATGCATTTAGTCTTTGCAGTATACTATAGTGTTTACATATCTTTAAATGTCAGCATCCATCTCTACCATATGTTTTCTCCTGTGTATTTTGTTGGCAGGGGATATATTTTCTTTATAATGAATGAAGAAATCACAGAAGTCTTATCTCTTTTGTGACCAAGCAGCACATTGTTTTTATAACCAAGTATAAAATTGAGAAGGGAGAATACATATTTAACAAATGAAGTTCGTAAGACCTTCAAATATATTGCCAAATACATTTAAAAACATATGTATTGTCAAATATACTGATGAACCTTTTAAAGCTTTTTTAAATGTTTTAAAATTCAAAATAATGACTTTAAGAAAAATCTGTCTAATGCTGCTTATTTCTGCCAGTTACACATTTGTTTGCTCAAATGCTTAAACTACGCTAGCTGTTGTCTTGATCTATTTATAAGCCTTTGGAAATTGAGTTCTAGTGCGCATGCTTGATAGGAATGGCTATAGCAGCTATAGAAGAAAACTCGGAAGTAATGTAAATTAAAATTAAAATGTATTTACAAGTTTCAGGAAAGCTTAATTTTAAAGTGTTTAAATCCACCTACTTTGAAACTGAAATACTGTTAATAACTTGAAAGGTGTGCTAAGATGGAGACCCTTTAAGGTGGAAGAGTTGTCCCGTTGAGGGGAGGGAGATTTGTTTTTTGTGTACTATGTTTTCATAAGCTCAGTTATATGAAAGATTGATAAAAATTTGGTAAGGGTGCCTATAGAGAAAATAGACGTGCCCTTGATTATTGCAAGTTCACAAATGCTTTTTCTATATTGTTTGGCCACTTTTAAAGGTATTTGATTCTGAAGAATAATTTTATCTGTAACTACAGGAATTTGTTCAGTATTCCCCCCCAATGCCACCTGGTAGCTGCTGAGGTACCTCCGAAATGCTTTTCTGGATGCTGAGTGTTTCTGTGACCTGTAAAGTTGTCTAGCAGCTGTCATTGTTCTGAACAGGAAAGTTAATCTGTTCAGGGACAGCTATACTTGAATGTAAGGCTGAATTTTGTCTGTCTTGAATTCAGGATATTAGCTTAAAAACTTTCCTGAATTTTTTGCCAGAATATGAACGAGCATATAATGTGCTTATTCATCTTACAGGCTCTCAAAGACTTTGATTCATCAGTAGATATAGGTGAGACATGAGCAGGGAGTATGTTTCAACAGAGGGAGCTGTAGCCTGAAATGCTTGTTTAGTTTTTGTGCAAGTTAACGATACAAAACATGTCCACAGGGAGAGCTAAGTACCTGTGCTTTTGGCTGTGGTGCTGCCTTAACACTGTATTATGGGAAGGGATGTACTTGGGGGTAGTGACATTAAAGTTTAAGGCACTATTATAGTGAGAAGGCTTTACGTGCCTTAGAAAAAACTTGGTTCTGTAATACCATTTCTGCCATCAATTCTGTTAGTTTGTTTTTTTTAAGTCTTTGAAGGAAAGGGGAGACAAGAAACTCTCTTAATATCTTTTTTAGTATCTTTTTTTTTTGTTTGGTAACTGCACCATGTCTTTCCAGCAGCAGTGTTCCGCATGAGTAGCAATTGGTGCTTTTTCCCAACACAAGAAACCTCTCTGAAACATTTTGCAGCTATTGCAGCTTCGTGTCATGTCAGTCTAAATACTGTTTTGTGCTGTCTATGCTTGTGATTGCTTGGAAGGATTGGAAACATTTTATAGTTAATCTTCAGGTCTTCAATAGGAGCTAAACTCAGCAACGTAGAAGCTTTAAGCTCTTGATTTCAGAGTACTTGTATGTGAATTCAACAGCTGAAGCTGTTGCCATTTTCTTTTCACCTGCCTGATTTTGTAATGTGGTAGGTGCTGGTTTGTCCATTTTTAAAACTGCAGGGATATAGAAATCAATCTAGAAGCACAAACAGTTTCATTTCTGTAGTTTACCACATGATGGCAATGTTACCTCTTTAAGTTCTTAAAGTTTACCCAAGTAAGACATCTGTGCTGCATTTCTGTGTAAAGCAGCAGTACCGAAGACGATGGCACAGATCCTTGAGAACAATGGATATGTTTATGAATGTTTTTATTTTGTCCTTATAGTTGATTAGGGGTATTTTGTTGGACTAAGTCGGAAAACACTTCTCACTTATTATGTGGAGCTGAGTGGAAAGAAATTGGAACTGCTCTTTAGAAACACCTTTGTAAGGTGAAATGCCGGTGCTTATTTTCTTTGCTTATTTCACGCAGAACAGGTAGGGCGCTTGGGTGGTGGGAGGGGAAGGGATACACCTTATCCTAGTCTACAGCGATGTCTGCTGGTCTCAGGAGTGCTTCCTAAACTAATAACAGCAGTAGGCAAAGCCACTAGTAATCCTTGTGCTGTGACATCTGGGAGAAGTGAACAATTACAGGAGCAGAACTGGGTCCCTTGATACAGTCTACAGCTGAAGGGTGTAAAGCCTTGTCACTCTGCTATTACTGGGAGTCAGCTGCAGTTCTGGGCAGAGTGATTTGCTGTGATACTTATCTTCAACAAAAAGCTATATTTTAATGTTCTTGGCTCTTGTTTAAATATGTCTGTTGTTCTTGTGTTTGGCATCTGAATATGATTCAATTTTGAGATTAAATGGACCTGGAAGAAGAGTATCAGGATTTATTAAACCTCCTAGTTTTCAAATACTGGTATTCAAATTATGTCCTGAATAAAGGTAATGCATGCCATTACCCTTCAGTTAAGGTTTACTTGGGTGATGACCATGACATTTTTGAATCATTTGGTCTTGTAGCTACCTATGTATCAATGATCTTTGTCTGGAGAAATTGGGATCATCCTGTTGAAAGCTCTAGCCCTCACCTTAAGTGAATGGGAAGTTTGCTCTGGAGGAATGAGGGAACCTGCTTCCTTACTGTTTGAAGAGTCAAAGACGACTCTAAGGTTACTTTGGACGTTCAATGCAGCAATGGCAGCTCAGCTGTGTGCTATTACTGCTGGGTGTGGGCTTCTCTTGTGGCAAACCTGGTCCATTTTACAGCTGGATCCCTGGGTCCCAAAACACTTTTGAACATCTACATGGCACGAACATCTACATGGCCTGAAGCTTTCTATAAAATGCAGGGATTAATATGTAACATGGAGCTCTGAAAAAGACTCCTGGACATGTGTCACTTGTGACCTTGTTTCAGTAACTCATGCATCTGAGTTCCTACTGTGCAGATGAAGCACACAGTCCACATTTGTTTATTTTGTCTGCTTCCATGTGTAGTGCCTGCTAAACACTTGCAGCTCTGCATGTTTCTCTCATTCCCCCTGCCCACAGTGATAAGGTGTCCCTGAAAGTTCCGCCTGCCTTTCATTAAGATGAAAAAGTGCTAAATCCTGTCTGGAGTGTGATTAGTGTGTGAGCGAAGGGCTCACAAGCAAGAAATGGTAAAGGAAGCAAACTAAAGGAATGGCTATGTGGTTTTGGCTCTACTTGTTTCAGGCCTTCAGCTTTTGTCTCCTTCCTCTATATAATTTCTGTTCTTTTTTGGTCTCCAAAGATGGCTTTTAGTGTTTTCAGCTTGAAGTGGCATATGCCATTGTCACACTGTCTCTTTTTCACGTACTTAGGGCTTATACTGGTAATGGCTTCTCTGAAGCCAAAAGACCTGCTTCTACTGATTATGCAGTGCATCCCTAGTTACGCTAAAGAACTGCAGTCCTTATCCTCCTGCCTTGACGCAAGCAGCAGCGCTGTGGATACTGTAAATGCACTCATGCCCTCTCTTTTTTTCCCTGCACACGCAACAGGCTTAGTTTTTGGATGCCGTGCAGCCTTCAGTTCAGTGTCATCAGTGGGAGTTTGGTGCAATCTGCGTCTTGTGCAGCTGATCCCTGTGATATTATTTTTTCCTGCTAATAAATGTATAGTATTCAGTAATTTTCCCTATCTCAATTTCAGTAATCATAAGCCAGTTTTGGTGCTGCAAATGAAATCCACAAGTGTCCAGTGAGGTCTTTGTTGCAAAATCCTCCATCCACTTCCCCCCCGCCCCCGCAAGCTTTCAGATCATTATGGGCATCAGAGTTGGAGAAGTCTTCTCTCTGCAGTCAGTTATTTGTGTTGATTACCAGCCTAAAAATTATGCCTTTGCAACCAATACAGACCCTCTTCCTCCTTCGTAAGATGCATTGACCTAACTCTCATGTAGAGGAAGTGCTATTTAACGTTTTCCCGGTGGCCTCAT